TCGGAGAGCTCAGGGAGAAAGGTAGTTTTATATTCATTTGCATCATTTCCAGGTGAGCGCTGATGTCTTACACATTTAAATAAATGCAAATGCATAGCTACAGTGTCTTTGCTTTAACTATATTCAGATGACTTGCGGAGCCATTCTGAGCCATGAAAACTACCCAGGTGGTTTCTGGTGTAGACGGATCTCATGTAGTACAGTGGTTTCCCCTCATGTTGTTTTATCTGTAAACTGGAAGGCAAGATGACCACAAGCAAGACTCAAAAGGTTTAAAGTGGAAGCACTTCTGCTGTTTTTTCCTGTCGCTGTATTTAGATTAGTGTTGATTGCAGAAACATAACTCCACGCTTTTATTTAAATTGTCATGTTTTGATATTTTACTTAAATATTTACTTCTATTTCATTTAAATTTAGTTCCTTAATTTTATATTAATTTTAAGTTTTTACTACTTGAGCTCTATTTAACTTATGCGAGCTGTCTTATATGTTGAATTCAATTTTTTTCAGCAGTAACAAAGGGATAAAGTATCTGTTAATGAAAAACACTCGTCAGCTCAGTGAGCAGAGTCGTGTTTTATATTGCTGACCAGCCACAGACAGAGGAGCACAGTGGTCAGTGCTGCAGTTAACATCCCCACCTTTCTCTTCCTCCTCAGTGAGCGAGTGCGAGGCGTCGGCCATGCTTCCTCTGGAGTGCCAGTACCTGAATAAAAGTGCATTGACTACTCTGGTGGGACCCCTCACACCTCCCGTCAAACATTTCCAGCTGAAGAGGAAGCCCAAGAGTGCAACCCTGAGAGCAGAGCTGCTGCAGAAATGTAAGTTCATTTAATAATGGCCAATACACACCACGTCCCACAGCTATGGGGGGGAGAGACCGTGGGGTGGGGTAAAAGATGTGCATTTGTGTTCGTTTTACTGTGCCTGCCAGATTGTGAGTGTCTGGTGTTCTTCAAAAATTGATTGTCCAACTTAACACGTTTTAAACCAATTTGTTTTATAGCTACAGAGACAGCCCAGCAGCTGAAGAAGACAGCCGGAGTGCCTTTTCATGCCAAAGGGAGAGGATTGGTCAAAAAGATTGACACCACAAGTAAGTAAAAAAAAAAAAAAAAAAAAGTCCTACTAAAAAAAGATTTAAATTATTTCACTGCATCCACGTTTGCATTACAGCTCCTCTCAAGGGGATTCCCAAAGCCCCATTCCGCAGCCCCACCACCCCCAGTATGTTCAGCCCTCCCAGTAACCGCACACCTATTGCTCCCGCACGGACGCCCCTGCGTAAGGAGCGGGGGGTCAAGGTAAGTCGTACCCAGTGTATCGTTTTTCTTACGGCTTTCATTCTTTCATCCTTGTTCTTCGCTTTCATTGAGCTCCTGCAGGATTGGAGTGACAGAGGGGTTTTTTTCTCCTATTGTTCAGCTGTTAGATATTTCAGAGCTGGATATGGTTGGAGCTGGAAGAGAAGCTAAGAGGAGGCGAAAGACTTTGGGTAAGTAAATTTACAGCCTTAGTTAGATTTTCTTGAGCAATAAAGTGTGACACTGTCGGTGCTTAACCTGTGCTTCTTTTTATGATATAGAAACCGAGGCTGGAGAGAAAGCAGCCAAAGAAGAAGCTGTGGTGGAAAACACCACACCCGACTACGCTGCTGGCCTCGTCTCCGCACAGGTATTTAACCCAACGTATATCTACTGTTCTCTGTCACACCAGCCCCCGTTTGCCTCTCTGCCATCGTAGGTTCACTCCTTTGTGTTGTTTCTCAGAAACTGGGGTCGCTGAACGAGAATCCTCTGCCGTCAACTAGCTACCTACCAGCCACACCCAGCATGGTTCCCTCCTCGTCTTACATTCCCAGCTCCGAGGCACAGCCAGGTTAGCCGCCTACCTCCCAGGGCTCAGCGCTTTCTCACTCAAACATATAAAGTAAAATTCCCTGCTCATGCGTTTCCTTCATGTCCTCCTCCTCCAAAGCCAATGCTGGTGGTTCGGGACGGGACACGCTGCAGGCGGCCCGTCAGCCAGAGGAGTCGGCGACAGCGACCACAGGTGCCAACGCCACCTTACCGGGCCAGTACAAGCAGAGACCGCCTATGTACAACGCGGGAACCACAGCAAACCCTGCAACTCCCACATCCCCCAGCACACCGGTATCCACCCCCGCCAGCAATGGACCACCAGCAGCTGCGACAGCCAGCCAGCCAGAGACCCCCACTCAGCCTCCCAGCACACCTCAGACCCCCACCCCAACAGCAGCCCCTACGCCACCACAGCCACAGCCCAAAAAGAACCTCTCACTTACGGTAAATAAACACCATTTCAAGACTTTCAAAGTCAGAGGATATTAAAACGTCAGCTAAATTATCTGTCCCCACTGTTTCCGACCGTCAGAGAGACCAGATGTACGCCGCCCAGGAGATGTTCAAGACCGCCAACAAGGTCACGAGGCCGGAGAAGGCCCTCATCCTGGGCTTCATGGCTGGATCCAGAGGTATGAGAGTTTTTAGCTGCTTGATGCAAATATAAAAAACAACAGCTTTTTCATAAATGCATATTACTATTTATCTAGTTTACCATTTTACCAGTTTTATTTCCTGTCAGACCCGTTTTCATTCACTTCACCCTTTTTTTCCCCTTTTTTGCAAATTAGCTTTAACACAATGTGACTTTGGTCACTAGCAGATTGCTGCAGATGCATGTTTGGATGGAAGATGGAAACTTGTCTGCAAACTCTCAAAGTGCAGTAAAACTTGGAGATTGTGCACCTTTTTAAATAAAAGTTAAACCTGTTGTAGCAGTGAGGCACATCTTCTACTATGAATGTGTTTGAACAGTCTCAATTTCCAGTTTGCATTGAATTCACCCAGCACCTGCCAGCAACATTTTTCCCAACAAATGAAGGTCAATAAGGTCACTGACTGGTCTCAAGGCCTGTGTAAATCTGAATTCCCTGTAGTCATTCAGAGTTTCCCCACATTTGCTGCAGGATTTTACAGAATATGTTTCAGTTTAAATGCAGTTTTAACTACAGTAGATGTCCCTCATAATTTCTCAGCATTTATGCACATCTGACAAGGCAAAAACTTAACCAGCCTACCACTCTAACTCCACCCTTCCCTACCCCCCATCCATTCCCTGCAGAGAACCCATGCCCGGAGCAGGGGGACATCATCCAGATCAAGCTGAGCGAGCACACAGAGGTTTTGCCCAAAGCCGACGGCACTGGCAGCACCACCATGCTGGTAGACACAGTCTTCGAAATGAACTACTCCACAGGACAGTGGACCCGCCTCAAGAAATACAAACCCATCACCAACACCTCCTGAGGCGATGCGCTCGCTCAGGAATCCCCACTTCAGACGTGTTTACGCACAGTTACAAAGTATTTGCATACACATTTGGGCCAAATCGAGCACGGGGAGGGTGAAAGATTGTCAAGGAGAGAAAGGTTCTCCCTTTTGCTGCACCTCCAAAATGTGGGACTCTTTGAAGACTTGCTTTTTTGGGGGGTTGTTTCCCTTACCCTTTTATTGTTTTTATGTCACTTCCGATTTCTGAATGATGCTGTTGACAGGAGAGAGATACGAGTTATTCTCACGGCAGGCACCTTTGAACATTTGTACTGAGGTACAAGCATGTCACGTGTTTAGAAAGACGACGAGCCGTCTGTATTTTTCTGTGCAAATGTGACGTTTGCAGCTTATTCTTCTACATTTCAGAACCAAACCATGTTTTGTGATGACACAGAAATTAACGAAGACGGTCATTGTAAAGATGAGATGAAATAAAGAAAAATAACTAGTTCTTAATGCTGTCCACCTCTGTTTTGGAGCCTTCTGGTAGATGTTTAATAATTTTTCATCCTTTTATTCCAAAAGAAGGGAAGAAAATAAAATGACAGACTCCAGCAGGTGTCTCTTTCTTACTCACTTTGACCAGTGGGGGTTTATTATGTGTTTAACTTATATTACACCTTTAAACACATGCTTATTAAGATATCTCCAATGAGACGGTGTGTGTCTCCAGTGTGGTTTTGTTTCAACATTTAATCTGCGTCCTTCCTGTGTCTGACTTCCTGCCCTGCTCATGAGTACCTTGATGTGGCTTCAGTCAACAATAGTTAATTTACCAACACAGGGCAGAGATCTGCATTTGAAACAAGTATAGTTGTCTTTGTGTGTGGCATGAGCATTTCTCAAAGTCTTAGCACAGCATGAATTAGGCAGCATGTGTCCTTCCACCTGAAAACTCAGATCATAACCTGGACCTAAAAACACCTGCCAACCAGTCCAAGCTTAAAAGTGATGCTGGAGAAAGCCTGAGAGAGGAACTGACCACGACTTTAAACTGCTTCAGAATAGTGTGAATGCACTTTTTTTTTTTTAAATATGTGAGCACAGGTCACCACATAGGGATCAATATCCCATAAGTGATCTAATACACCAAGAGAAAAATGTTTCTGTAAATCTTGTTGCAGTGAAATGAAAATATGAAATCCGTTCACTTTCATTGTTTTTAATTAACCAACTTAATTGTTTACTGATTGTGATTCATGTCTTGAACTTGACAGAGATACTGTATTAAAAGGCCAATTCCTGTCCTGAGCCTGATTCAGCTTCAGGTTTATTCATGTTAAAAGTGGGTTTTTTCCTCCCTGTTGCCAAGTTCTTAAACAGCTGTTAGCCAGTGTGTGTTGCACCCTTGCTAATAAATCGTAAGTAACGGACTAAATGACGAGAATTTCACCCAGAAAAATTTAAATCCTGTTTTATGGGATTGTCTATGTCAGTCATGTTGTTTAGTTAACTGCTGATCATTGTGCTCTGAATACAGTTATCCAGGTGGACGAGCTATTTAAAAAAAAAAAATTCAGCTGAAGTGTTGCCCATTGGTCCTTACACATTTGGCCTTCTGGCCTGTGTGTTGCGCATAACAATCACCTTGAATTCTTCATTGGAATAAGTCAAACAGGGTTTTTAAAAGAAAAACAGCTGTAATATGAAACAATACTTTTTTTATTAATTAAAATGAGTTGCAACATAAAGCATGCGCCTCAGTCACTGCACTGATCTGCAACATTCATGTCATCATTAAATTAAGGCCGTTTTCCTCTACCGATGTCAGATAAGTATTCCTTCATAATCTCTATTCCACTGGTGCCTGCCATTCTGTTATTGGACCATCTAATGTCATCTCTGAAGCACTTTGGTTAACACTTTATTTCCAGTGTTTAATGCATGATCATGTCTAGCCCATACCTGATTGTCAGCTCTGTCCGTTTGCCTCTGTAGTTGTGGCACAAATCATTATTTAATGTATTCAGGAGACTTCTGCTCAGGTTCACGCTGAGTGTTTGCAGAGGTCCAATCAGTTAGAGCGACAGTAACAACCTGGGTGGCTGCGAGTGTGAACATAAACAATCAAAAATGACCTTTTGAAAGTCAAAACAGTAACAATGAGTCTGCACGTACATGAGTGAAGCAGGTGGAAAAACCAGGGAAGTCTAACAGTGCGAGGCTTGTCTACACAAACACCCTGTCCTATGTCATACAGTGAATGCTCAGAGAGAGCTGATAGCCTTTCAGTTTGTTAAAGCTCAGGTTCATGGCAGTCTGTGAAAAGAGTAGATGACAAAATCATGACTGAATTCTTATTAGTGCAAAATGTTTCCTACTAAAACATTCAAAGCAACGACTCTAGCTCTCTCTGTGTACTACATCAGGCAGTACCGCTACCTCAGCCAAACCACACCTGCTCTGCAGGCTTGGTGATGACTGCTACTGTGTGAGCGTGTGCTTTTAGTTTGCTCCGGGGTCCTTCCAGCCTCCGAACGTCTTCTCCAGGTGGAGGGCCACAGCGAGGGTCAGGTGGTCCTGCAGCTTCCCTGCAACGACCTGCACGCCCAGAGGCAGACCCTCCTCACCCACACCCAGAGGGCACTGAGTCACCGGCAACCCCAGCATGTTAATTATACCTGTGTATGGAGGGGGGGAAAAAAAAAAAAAAAAAAAAAAAGAAAAATGTCTTAATACGTGGAATAAATCTTTTTAACAGCAATAATCCAGAAATAGCAACTTCGAAAATGACTGTCAGACATAAGATAAATCACAGACAGTTTCCAGGATGTAAAAAGGTTTTGAAGTCTCCCACAGTTTTTTTTCAACTGAGCTTTAACCTCCTAAGACCCGAACTCTTCCACGACATGCATTTTTAATTTCTCTTTGATATTTGGTCATATTGGGGCCCGATGAATGTAAAAACAAAGAATTACCAGATTTTTTTTTCAACCTTAGTTTTGTTTTTAAGAAAAATGAGAGCCACATGAGGAAATTCGTTTACAACTTTGATAGAACAGTAGCAGTATAATGTCCTCGTAAGTGGATATCAGGCCCATGTAGAGCAAAATTGAGTATTTTAGTCTAAATAACCCAAAATGTGATGTCGACATATGTGGACGCCAGGTCCTAGGAGGTTAAAGGTTATTTTGCAAAGTGATGTGACTGAAAAGCACAAAGGATAACCTGCACACAGACTGCAAGAGTCCAGGTGCAAATAACAAAACAAAACTGACCACCAAAGAGCTTTGTGTATTCCTCACTAGTACTGGTTTGGATCCTCTTGTGCCTTCAGACCTGCTTTAATTCTTCATGGCACAGATTCAACAAACATCACACAGCTGCTGCACATCCATGATGCGAGTCTCCCGTTCCAAAAAAAAATGCAAAGTTGCTCTACTGGTGAGTAGAGGCCATGTGAGTACAGGGAACTCACTGTTACGGTCAAAAAGCAAGTCTGAGAAGATCTGTGCTTTGTGACATGGTGCACTGTGGTCATAAAGGGACATGATCAGCAACAATACTCAGGCAGGCTGTGGGGTTTAAAATCAGCTGATACTGAGGGGCCCAAAGTTATTCAAATTACTGCCAACCCATCAATTTGAAGCAGCATTCTGCTTTGAGAGTGAAACATTTTCTCCCATTTTCAGACCTTTCTTTGTAAATGATTGTGTGGGAAAGTCCCAGCAGATCAGCGGTTTCTGGATTTTAATGTCTGTGATATTAATCGTGATGTTGCTGTGCAGATGTTGGCTGTTAAAATAAGATCAGGTGAGAAGTGGAACGCCACTGACCGGTGTATGAGAAGTCGAAGGGTCTTAGGAGCGGGTGGTGGTGTTTGGGGGCCACTTTGGGGTGAGAGGGGTAAAGGAAAACACCGTCAGCACCCAACAGCTCATCCACCTCCTTCTGCAGCTTCTCCTTCATCTGGATGATGGAGGACGGTGTTTTGGACATGCGAGTCATCTCGATCAGGCCCACAGCTGAAGACGTCGGTTCACAGAAACTTTAAATGCTATTTATTCATTTATTGCTTAATCATTTTTATATATAACAGTGTTTTGTTTTTAAATTGAGAGCTACTATTGAACACTTTGGAAGTCTGTATTGCAGCCTTTACCGATAGCAGCGAGGGTGTGGTCTGATCTTCCTATCATCCACTTCAGCAGCTCCCACAGAGGCCAAGCTGGTCGTCCTGGTTCTCCCATCAACTCAGCAAACATCTGAGGAGGCTGGGAGAAAACAAAACAAAAACAATTCAGTTCTTTTAAAGGTCATAGAAAGGACACAGACTGTATTACTTCTCCATGTTCTTTATTGCTTCCTCTCAAACATGGTTGCTATTTTCTGCTGACAGACTGTCCAAGTTGTCATCATTATCGTGCCAGTAACCTGCACCTGTGTGGCATCACTACACCAGGCTCAGGTTTAAAGTTAGTAATGATTTATTAGTCATTGAGCACCTGAAAACAGCAGAAGCCCACAGGCCACAAAAATGTTCCCGTCATGAAACCACTTCAGTCAAATATCACAAAAATGGATGTCAGGGGTAGAGAGTAGAGTAGAGTGGCTGTGTCACTAATCTTTTTTGAGTGACAGCTCTAAAATCTTTTTGGGATCCCTGCACTGCAGTGATGCCACTCTACTGCCCACTTTGTAAAGACGAGTACACTGGTCCCTCGTTTATTGCGGGAGTTACGTTCTAAAAATAACCCCCGATAGGTAAAATCCGCGAAGTAGCCAACTTTATTTTCTTACAATTATTATAAATGTTTTAAGGCTGTTAAACCCCTCACTACACACTTTATACACTTTTCTCAGACAGGCATGAACATTTTCACACTTTTCTCTCTTGTTTAAACACTAAGTTCAAACCTTCTAGAAAAATAAGTCCAGTATTATAGAATGAAACCAAACACACCTGTAGTTGCCTTTGACGGTGCAAAACGTTTTGTCGCCAGTGTTGTGTTTGTTGGGGAGAAAACTTACAAACATACAGTGCAGCACTTCAGAGTCACACTGCTAGCGATCGAAGATTTATGTAAATTTGACAAGCTGAACGCATTCTGCACTGTACAGGAGACACGACATGAGATTGACTGACAATGGTCAACAGCCAATCAGGACACAGAACAATACGCAGTAAAACAAACAAACAAACAAACAACAACAGCGAAGCCACAAAAGGTGAACCGTGTTATAGCGAGGGACCACTGTATAACCCAACAGGTGGGTGTGAAATGATTCACGGGTCAAGGAAAGAAGAAAAATAGTACAGCCACATAAATTTTGGGTTTTGGTTGCGAAGTTCACCTCACTGGTTCTTATGGGATTCAAAATACAGACAAGATACAAATCTGATCTGAGAAAAAGTGCAGAAACAACAAAGACTGGAAACCAGTGTTTCAATACTTAACTCCTATACTGGGCATTTTGATTTAGCTCTCTTTAACTTGGTACATTTAGATGCCTGAATGATATAGATTTGGTTTAAAGAATACCTAGTTTACCCATATTTTTGTTCTTGGACTCTACCACAACCCTTTTATGCTACAGTACTTGGAGACCAGAGCAAAACAAAAATTACTGCAACCATGTCCACTGAAGTTGCAGTGTTGCCTTTGAAAGTGTTGCTTCAAAGACTGGGACTGGGTTTGTGATCACTCATCAGCTGGTGTCTTCAATTCAATCTGTGTAGCAATATGTCAACTAACTGATAAATCAGAAGGAATTGCAAATCTGTTCCTCTCTAAATACAAACAAGTACCTCCATTGATATTTGATGTAGTTGATACAGGACGGTGATTTAACTTCAATACAGCAACCTTGCTTTTATATAAGAATAAAACTAGAATACAACCAACTGAGTTGAGTCTCATATTACAAAGAGACGGATTAAAGACGAGGCTCAACCTCTGGATGATCAGATGATCGCTGCAACTACATGCAATCAATCACTGAATGCTCTTATACTGTGCCTGAGAAGACCACATAAGGACATCCCCTTACATCACACAGAGCCAATAGTAGGAAAAGAATAAACTCCATGGCCATGTTCAGTATGAGCATCCAGCACTGTGACAGTATAAGACATAAAATAAGGAAAAGCATAGTAAGTTCACTTTAAATCAAACTGGTGATCTGCATTAAAGTAGAAAGTAGCAGTAAACTGACTGTGACTAACTCACAGCCTGGTAACAGAAACGTTTCAGATTAGCTGAAGAGAACTGCGTGGATGTAACTATGTGGGCACATAAATCTCTTCCCAAGCACATAACTCTGAGTTAGAAACAAAAACTGATCACATTGTAAAGCTTTACATATTAATGAGGAGACTTGGTTTAATGCGAGGCGTCTGCAGGAAATCTAGATGCGGGTATTGTCCTCTGAAGTGGCAGAAACATTACTGTGTGTGTGTGTGTGTGTGTGTGTGTGTGTGTGTGTGTGTCGTGCACAGGCAGCTAAACAGATTAGGCGACCATTTCTGGGCAGCAGACTACAATAGGTGCTGTGACTAAGACTCAGCCTGCTTTCTCTCTTAGTGAGACGTGCCTTATTAGCTGGAAAGTCCTGGCAACAGCAAGAAACCAATGCCTGTTTCTCTCCCTTGTCTTCATCATTCACCCGCTGACTCTTTGTCTGCTGTAAAGTTAATGTTCTGGACCTACTTTGCCCTCCTTGTCAGGAAGGACCATGTAGGTGTCCCAGATCTGAAAGCTGTAGCGGAGCTCAGGGAAATGCACTTCTTGGACTTTCACTCCGAGGTCCGCCTCCAGGCGCTCGGCTACCTGTGGAAGACCACACGAGGATTTAAAGTGTAAAACAATTCCTCCTAAGTGTGTAGGAGTTCTGCAATAGACAGGGAAAAAAACCAAAAAAACAACGCACCTTTCTCTGAATGTCTACGAGCTCTTTGCTGACGGGGGTTATGAGAGGAGAGCCGCCGTCATGAGGGATGGTGAAGAACCGCAGCTTCTTTAAGTCGACCTTTGTGTTTAAGGACAACCTGTGAGCACAAGTGGAAACAATCAACAGCACTGCTGAACTACTGTAGCTAACAAACACAGTTGGGGTTTGGTTGTGTTGAGTCAGAATCTTCTGTGACAGAAATCTATACAATTCCTTGTAATTTTGGACCATTTGATAAACAAATGTGTCCATTATGCTGATGTAAATGAAACCTCGAGATCAAGTGCTGACGTTATTACAGCCCTGGTAAAACCCTGTTCGCAGGCTACCCAAAATACCTCTCTATAGTTAAATGCCTGTATTAAGTCTCTGTGAAGGTTCTTAGTCATCCAGGTCATCGTAGTCTAAGGAGCTTGCAAAGAAAAGCGTCTGGACTTCTTTAAGTTGCTTGAAGACGTTTCACCTCTCATCCGAGAAGCTTCTTCAGTTCTAAGGTCAAATGATGGAGAGTCCCAGATTTAAACCCAGTGGGAGTGTACCCCTGATGATCCTCTAATCACCTGACCCAAGGTGTGAAAACGGGTGTGGGTCCCAATCAGCCAGAGTTTTGGGTTCCTGAGGTCAGATGGCCCAGGATGTGAGTGGGCGTTAAGGCGTCTGGGAAGGGATCTCAAAAACTGGATTATAGATGGCAGAGAGTTGGTGTCGTAAACCCCGCCTCTGTTCAAAGATGGTCGCTCACAGTGGACATAGATGGCTTCTTTCACTCCTCTTTCAAACCATCTGTCCTCTGTCCAAAATGTGAACATTGGCATCCTCCAAAGAGTGTCCTTTATCCTTAAGATGCAGATGGACTGCTGAGTCTTGTCCTGTGGAGGTGGCTCTTCTGTGTTGTGCCATGCGCTTGTGAAGTGGCTGTTTGGTCTCTCCAATGTAGAGGTCTGAGCATTCCTCGCTGCACTGTACAGCATACACCACGTTGTTAAGTCTGTGTTTTGGAGTTTTGTCTTTCGGGTGATACAGTTTCTGTCTGAGCGTGTTGCTGGGTCTGAAATACACCGGGATGTCATGCTTGGAGAAAACTCTCCTGAGTTTTTCTGATACACCGGCTACATAGGGGATGACAATGTTGTTGCGTCTGTCCTTCTTATCCTCCCTCGCTGGTGTCTGGTCTTCTTTTCTGTGCCTCTTTGCTGACTTTAAGAACGCCCATTTAGGATAGCCGCACGTTTTGAGTGCTTCCTTTACATGTGTGTGTTCCTTCTTTTTTCCTTCAGGCTTAGAGGGAACATGTTCTGCCCAGTGGTGTAGGGTCCTAATTACTCCAAGTTTGTGTTCCAGAGGGTGATGGGAGTCAAAGAGGAGGTACTGGTCCATGTGTGTGGGCTTCCGGTAAACTTTGATGTTGAGTTTGCCGTTCTCTTCAATGTGCACAGTGCAGTCCAGGAAAGGCAAACAGTTGTCCTTTGTGTCTTCCCTGGTGAACTTGATGTTCTTATCCACAGCGTTAATGTGCGCAGTGAAGGATTCCACTTCTTGTGTCTTGATTTTGACCCATGTGTCGTCTACATATCTGTACCAGTGGCTGGGTACTCTTCCTTTGAAAGAGCCAAGAGCCTTCCTTTCTACTTCCTCCATGTAAAGGTTGGCTACAATAGGTGACACGGGGGAGCCCATGGCACAGCCATGTTTTTGTCTGTAAAAGCCTTCGTTGTATTTGAAATATGTAGTGGTGAGGCAGAGGTCTAACAGGGTGCAAATCTGATCAGGTGTGAAGTTGGTCCTGTCCTCCAAGGAGCTGTCTTCTTGTAGTCGTTTTCTGACAGTCTCCACGGCCTCCGTGGTGGGTATGCAAGTGAAGAGAGAGACTACATCAAAGGACACCATGGTTTCATCTGGATCCAGGGTAAGTTTCTGGACCTTGTCGGTGAAGTCGGTGGAGTTCTTGATGTGGTGTGGGGTGTTCCCCACGAGAGGAGCAAGGATGGTAGCAAGGTGTTTAGCAATGTTGTAAGTGGCTGAGTTTATGCTACTGACTATGGGTCTGAGTGGGACAGCTTCCTTGTGGATTTTAGGAAGTCCGTAAATGCAGGGTATGGCATCCCCTGGGTAAAGGCGGTCAATGATTTTGTCCTTTTCAAAGTCTTGAAGGCAAGCTATAATTTTCTTTTTGTAGCTGCTTGTGGGGTCTCGCTTTAAGGCTTCGTAGGTATTGTTGTCACTGAGGAGAGTAGTGATCTTTGTATGGTAATCTGTAGTGTTTAGGACCACGGTGCATCTTCCCTTATCAGCTGGTAAAACAGTGATGTTGTGGTCTTTGCTCAGGGAAGCGACGGCCTTCTTTTCCTGTATTGTGAGGTTGGACGGAGGGACTTTGGCACTGGAGAGCGTGGCTGAGACTTTCATCCTGATTTGCTCTGCTTCTGTCTGTGATAATTTATTAATCCGTATGGCGGTTTCTGTGGCTGTGATGAGGTCCACCATGGGCAACTGTTGTGGAGAAATGGCAAAATTGAGTCCTTTGGCTAATACCCTCTTTTCAGGTTCAGTGAGATGAAAAGTTCTTCACCCATTTCTCCTGACTGTCCTCAGGTGTGTTTTCTTCTCCGAGTTGTGTAGGTTCAGAATGAGGAGTGTTTTAGAAAGCAAGGTGTGAAATTTCCTGCGTTGTCTTTCTTTTCCTTTAGAGTGTTGGGCCTGCTGAGCCTTGTCCACAAACTTGTAAACCTCTAAGATTGGAGAGCGTAGAAGGGACTCTCCACCATTTGACCTCAGAACTGAAGAAGCTTCTTGGATGAGAGGTGAAACGTCTTCAAGCAACTTAAAGAAGTCCAGACGCTTTTCTTTGCAAGCTCCTTTGACCTGTATTATGTCTGGCATCTCCTGCGTTTGGCTGCACAAAAACAAAGAAAACCTCAATATTCTTTAAATTAAATCAAAATTATTCATAGTTACTGAGTTGTTTTATTTTAGGTTGTTTTCACAACAGGTGAGCCAAACTCAGAATTTTTAATAGCGAAAAGAAAATAATAAAAATCATAACAGTGACATCAAGTTGCTTTATATTGTAGGGTAAAAAGTAAAGGGGTTGGTTCTTATGTAGCAGGTTTCTAGTGGAGCACTCAAAGCGCTTTATACAAGATGCATTATTCACTCATTCACACGTAATCATACAAGCACTTTTTTAAAGTGCTGTCTATTTCTAACATTCACACTCCAATGGACACATCGATGAGCAACTTGGGGTTCAGTATCTTGCCCAAGAATACTTTGCATGCACACTAGAACAGCCAGGGATCAAACCACCACCGTTCCACTTAGTGGATGACCTGCCTCATCTCCTGAGCTGCAGCCACTCCCTAAGCCTTAAATATTGGAAAGATACAAGAATAAGGAATTGAATATATTAGAAAGAAACCCTGACAATCACAAAACCCCATATGAGGAAGCAATTTGAGGCAGTGGGAAGGAAAATCTCCCTTTTAACAAGATATGGTTGGGGGGTGATGGGGACGAAGAAGACAAAAGACATGATGTAGTTAGTTTATCATCGTGGCCAAAATATTACATTTAAGCCAACATCCAAAATCCTCTTATGTGCGAGCAATCGTCAGTCACATAAAATGTAAGAAGTTTAGGAGAGTATAAAATGTTACTGCGTGTGGATCATTATCACATCCATGAAGCACTAAAAAAAAAAAAAAAAATTAGCACTGAGATAGCTGGATGCATTTTATTGTGCAGATTAGGGATATGAAACATCTGCTATCAATTTATCAATGTGGGTGTGTCCAGTTAGCCATAATTTGATCACACGCACACACACTTTGCTTTAGAAGGTCTCCAGCCTCTTCTAAGTAAGCCCCAGTTCTTACCTTGGCACCATAAGAACTGTATTTGTGCATGAACACAGATTGCACACTGTGTCACTTATACATGTAGATAAACTAATACAAATAAATAAAAGAATTAACACATTAGCCCCGAATTACACTCAGATGAAGCAACAGCAGCAGGGCCTTACATGTCAACTCTGGGTCCGGCCATGATCTTGAGCATAGGCAGAAGGTCTTCAGCGTAGCGACACATGGGACCAGAGCTGAGGTACTCCTCCTGCCTGCCAGAGGAAGGAGGGTACTGATTCTCACAGGACACGACACCTAAAGGAAAAAGTATTTTTTCCTCTATTAGTCAGCCTTACAAACAATCTGTAAGCAAAACGCTGTCATACATGAAGATTTCAATCTGGTGCAGTGGGTAGCAGCTGCTCCTTCAAAGTTTCTGTCCACCTGATGAATGTAAAACCCAAGGCTTTGTTTCAGTCACAGCTTGTTTGCGAAGAGGGCCCAGATAACAACTAGCGTAGAAAGCTTTAATGCACATTTTAACAGCGCTGAACAGAAATCTCCTGAGACAAACCTGCCTGTTTAGCTCCTAAATGCTCCACTGTGTCCTCAGCTGGGCTTTAACTGCCACTGTGCTATGCGAGCAGTTAGCTGTAAAGTTGTGGGCAAAGCTGAAAAAGAAGCAGAGGGGAGCTGCAGGCACACATGATAATCCTCTGGAGGTTCATGTCTATGAGTGATCCCTGTCACATGTTTTTCCTCATTAACTGCTACTAACCCCCCCCAAAAAAAACAAAACAAAAACAGAGCTACAACATTAACTTATGTGGGGTTATCAGACTCACAGCCAGTGTCTTTTACCTGGAGTAGTTTTATGGCCAAATATTCCATTGAAGAAACAGGGCATACGAATGCTGCCGCCGATGTCTGAGCCCACACCGATGACTGAACCTGCCGCTCCCAGTATGCTGCCCTCTCCCCCTGAGCCCAGAGGAACAGGCGATAAACAGTGAGAGAGCAGAGATAAGTCAGTGGAAGTGGACTTTATCTGGACCATTATTGTCAATAAAAGTCCTCACAGAGTCAACAAAGTACGTTTACCTGCAGATACGAACATTTTTGTTTTTGAGGAAAAAAATGGCAACATAAAATGTATTTGTTCATTAAATGTATGAAATAAGCAGCGTTACTATTATAAAAATAAAGCAACTCGACTAACGATGGTTTGGTTGCAGATTTTACGCTTAAAATTGCCTTAAAAAAATAAAAAATAAAAAAAAGCAGCTCACAGAGGTTTAGTGTAGTCTTCACACACAAAGACAGAAAGAGACATCACAAGGTTTTTAGATTTTGTACAGCTCTGCATACAAGACATCATTGAACATTTTCCACATAAAATAGCACTCAACCAGACCTGAAAGCAGGGAAAGGTAAAAATAAATAAAAGCACCACAGCCAGAGCCTCAGTAATATGATTAAAACCAGGACGACTCCTGGCAACAAAAACAGACGCAAAAAAAAAATAAAAAAAATTCAACTTTGTCTCAACACCGGCTGCTAACCTGAGCTTCCTCCCGGTATCCTCTCCAGGTCATACGGGTTGTTGGTGATGCCATAGATGTGGTTGTGCGATTCATACCACATGCAGAGCTCGCTTGTGTTGGTGACACCCAGCGGGATGGCACCCGCTCTCTTCAGCAGGGCCACAGGTGGAGCGTCGACTGTGGCCACGATCCCTCGCCTGGAGACCAGGCCTGTAGTGAAGGGCATGCCTGCAGAAGGGAGACGTGTCACATGTGCAGAGTGGATTTGCAGTGACTAACTAGAACTAAAGACTAACAGCTCTGCTTTTCCCTCAGCATCATTTTTAACTGACGGAAAACGTTTCTGACTTCTAGTTTTTTCCTTCAGTGAACAGCAAGTCAAAAACCAGAACTGAAGTTTGAAAACTAACTACCACAGTAAAACCTTCTAAGAGGATTTACAGCGCTTAAATGCATACTTGCATACATACAGTCCAAAGTGCATGTGTGGACTGAGACATGTTAACAGTATCAAATACTGAGTAAAACTGAGGTCACCTGATGCAGGTAACCACAGTAAAGTGTCAAGTTTCACGCAGCTGACGGGAGATTAAATTTCTGGAAGTTACCCTGGAGGGCATAAGACTCTTTCACAGAAAGTGGGACTCCTAATAAAGGCAGCCGGTCCTCCAGCACTTCCTCTCCTCCAGTCTCCTCCTCAATCAGCTTATCGACCTGAGCCGCCTCCTGGAGGGCAGCAGCAAACCTGGACAGACAGAAATGCAGTTTACGTTTACTGACAAATTTAGAGGGAAAAGATTTTGACCTGATGCTAGTAAAATGTCAAATTACAGCAGTGCAAACTATGCATTGTATTGTCACTATAATTACATGTTTTCATTTGCTGAGAAAACTTCAGCACTTAAATCTTTTTTATATTTTCCTCACACTACCTTTGCACATTTACCCACAGCAAACGTGATGTGACAGAACAGACACACATCAGGCACTGCTAAGGTTAAACACCATGTTTTTATCCCAATAGTCTGATGGCATTCTTCAAGGCTGATATATTGATACATCTTCATTTTTAGTTTCATTTCTGAGTTAAAGAAAAAAAAAGCCTCACATCATCATACCCTGTGCTGGGCCAGGAAAATGTTTCTGTCTTCCTGTCAACAAAATAATCAATAACTGCAGCTCAAGAGCACACTATCAGACATCAGGGAAATAGAGATGATCGTTTCTTGCCTGTCTTTCACAACAGCATTCACAAAAGGGTTAACTTCCTGGATCCTGTCAATGTAAGCCTGCACCACCTCTACGCTGGACACCTGCAGGGACATAACATTTAGACCACGTAAGGACATGTTATGGTTCATTGCAGAAAGAATGTCACAGAACAGGAAAACAAGTCAAACTGAGGGTGAAACTTGAATATGATTTGTCCTAAAGAAAAAAAAAAATTAAAAAAGGAAATAAGGTTTTGACTTCAGTGTCTTTAGGGTGGATTATAAAAGCTGCTTCAGCTTCTCTACAGCTGCAAGCCGCTTTGCAACCCACAGTTCCTCCTTTCAAGTTGTTTCTGCTACGTCTCCTGTCACTGATGCCTGCTGCTCTTCCAGGATCACAGACGCTATTTAAAAAAAAAAAAAGAAAAGAAAAAAAAGGAGGAGGAAAGCTACAGTGATGTGTCATTGAAGTCTGTAGCTGAGCACTTAATATCAACATGTTTTTTATGAGTGAGCAGTGGATGTGCCAGTGACACTCCACACTTATTGGCTAACAATTTTGATTGACAAGCTGTTAGCATTACCAGGGTAATCCTTTCCTACTCTTACAATAACCATAAACTAAAAAATGGATTTTATGTTTTGTTTTACTGAAACTAGGGCTGCTCAAATAATCGAATTTTAATCACGATTACGATCTGGGCTTTCAACGATCATTAAAAATGACTGAGCCGATTATTAGCCCCTCCCTCATGCTTTACTCTCGCGCTGCTCCATGGGGCAAATCCAGCACACCTCTCTGCAATTCGAACACGCGTCACAACAATTAAGAGCAGCGGTCCCCAACCCCTGGGCCTTGGACCGGTACCGGTCCGTGAGTCGTTTGGTACCGGGCCGCGAGAGTTGAGGCTCAGGTGTGAAATGTATGGTTTTCAGGGTTTTTAATCAGTTTTCAGCATTATTTTGTTATCGTTTTGATTATTAACTCGGTTTTCCTGGGTCTTTTCACGTGTGTTATGAATAAATCTTCTTTTTTTCGGTACCGGTACTAGTTTTTTTTTTTTTTGTTGCATTTATCCGCGACACCTTAAAGGCCGGTCCGTGAAAATATTGTCGGGCATAAACCGGTCCGTGGCGCAAAAAAGGTTGGAGACCGCTGATTAAGAGGACCCGAGGGAAGCTCAGAAAGCTAAGCAGAAGTTATTTGGAGAGGAGAGTGACTGCTGTTGGTTGAAAAGAGAGGTAAAAAAAACTTCAGTGGTGTTGCACACTATTTTATATTATTTTTTTAAAGTCATTGTTAACCCTTTAAAGCCGGTCAGAGCAGCACGCTCCGTTTTGCGTAACTATTTTTAAATCCCTGTAGAACCTGAACCGTGTAAGCTAGCGCAATAATTTTTTTTGCATATGAAACCAGAGGAGTTGTACTTACATCTGATGCCATCAGCTTGTCCTCGGTCACGGTTTCCTTCCACATATAGCTTTGCAAAAATTGCATAAAAAGCGCTTGCAGCAACAAAAACATAATATTCCAGAAACACGCTTTGCCGATCTGATCAGCTGTTCGTAACACTTCCCACAATGAAACAGACGTCAGCGCGAACTATCGCATGTCCGCCATTTCCTGCCCGAAACCGGAAGTGACGTCATTTTCGCGGAAAATGTAGTTTTTTTACTTGTAGGCCTTAAAAGCCTATACTGGTGTTTTTATAAGTCATGTTTACTTTTCTGAATAGTTTCTGTGATGCTTAGAACTCGAATTGCACTGCTGGAAATAGTTTATTTTGATGCACATGCTGTTTTCTTTGCAAATTTGCATCATAGGATTGTTTTTTCGTTTTTCCTGCAGTATATAAAAATTGGTGTATCTCAAAAATAAAACTATGAAGACACTCAAAATAAATTTCCTGTTGTTGTAAACTATTTTTTGCAACTTTTTTTGTATTTAAAGTTTTGAGGGATAAACCTCTTAAATTTCTCTAAGTAGAAATATATGTAAAAAAAAACAAAAATGATTTTCAATTTTTTTGTAGTTTATTGCACTTTTTTGTAATTAATGTAGTTACTATGGACTTAATGCATACATATTATTAAAATGGGCTATAACAGTTGTATAGCAACTTGAAATGCTCCCACAAATGGCACTACAACATGTAAAAAAAATAATATAAGCTCTGGCGGACTTGGTTCTATAGTAGGTCTTAAAGGGTTAAATAAATATCGTCAAATAATCGAGATCTCAATTTCAGTGAAAATAATCGTGATTATCATTTTTGCCATAATCGAGCAGCCCTAACTGAAACTAGTAACTGAGACCAAAGGAAATTATCAGGAAATAAGGTGTTTACAGAAGTGACCTCTGTAAACGTTGTCAGGCCAGAAGTTTTCTGTAATCAGTGGAATCGCCCTCTGCTGGTCATTAGGAAGAATGCAGGTTTAAGGCATTAGCTTCATTTTTCCTGGCCAAAAGTTACATCCATCTTTTATACAGGTTATGTCCAAAACAGGGCCCTACCACCAAACATCAAGCCTTCTGTTTGATATAGTTATCCAGAGTGAATTAGATTACAATAAGATACTGTAATCTAAAAACAAAGGGGCCCTGTACAGGAAAGGTCATTCAGTAACAGCCTGTTTTTTCCCCCACCCCTCAGTAGACTTGGTGATTTCAGTGTCAGCTTTTATGCTACTGTGCGGTGGAGCAGCTGATGCAAATAGACTCAATGAGCTCATCGGGGATGATGATTCAGTCCTGGATACAGAGGAAAGCACTTAGTACTGTGGATGATGCCTCTCATCCCCTGCACACCACACTGGAGTCATACTAAAAGTATATATGTGCGCGAAAGGTGCGCGTTTCTCAAGGTGTGACCAATGAAACTGTCATTGTAAAGAGGTTTAAAGACACGTTTAATTCCCGATATCTTAATATAAGACAAAAAAGTGCAAATAACCATACATCTCAGTTTTTCTACATTATAAAGAAATGGTGCTGTAGTAAGCAGTCTTTGGGCTCAAATTATAAGAGATTACTTCTAGTAAAGTTCTAGTAGGTCATTGCCCAGACCATCGTTTAATTATAACACTGAAGATTTTTTTATTTTTTTATTTACTCAGAACAATTATGTGAAAAAACATCTTTTGTTAAATGTTTTATATTACTTAATTACTTTGGTATAATGTCACAGAAGCTGTTATCTGTTAAAAATACAAAATGCATGCCCCTCCCATTCCAGAGCCATGAGGTGCATGGCCAGATTGGAGTCTTTGCCTGACCAATTCTGGCCCCAGATCCTTATGTTTGACACCCCAGCTCTAAGGTGGATACAAGTTTAAAATTAAAAATGAACAGTCTTATTTGGGTTTTTTTGTTTGTTTGTTTTATAAATCATTGAAAACTCTCTCTCCTCTCAGGGCCCGCAGCTCACAGCAGCTTCACGGCCCAAATGGGTGTCCCGCGCCCACACTTTGGGAACCCCTGCTTCCTGCACTATTGTAGTTTTCTTTTCTTTTTTTTTTTAATGTTATCACTGAGCAGTCTTTCCTAAAGATGTTACTTTCTTTTATCTCATCCCATCTCGGAATGTCTGTCCAAAAGCTGTTAAAACATTTGTGAGTAACTCATTAATCAGCATTTACCGCTCCAGCGCCACATGAAAGCAGCACCTGCACATGCGCCATGTGTGCGTTCCAATAAAACCTAGCAACAAGTACACGATTTGTTCACCTCCAAGTTCCACACATCTGTCTGGAGCAAAGCACAGCCCGACAAAAGGCTGCTCCCATTCTGGCTGTACAGGCAGCACAGGTGTGTTGTTATTCCACAGGTGTTACTGTCTTACTGTGGGCGTGGAGACTTGGGAGCAGAAAGCAAGCGTTGGGAAACCGTCCCTGAGGAGCGGACCAAGGTGCTTCAGCTCCAGTGATTGTAAATAGAAATAAGAATGGAAATAGAAGCTAAAGAGGGGATGTAAGAAACATGACAACCCATGACCTCCAGATTTAACACCGGCTTATGTGAGTCTAAATCAAACTGACATGAAGATGGTTAAATCTACTCGCTTGGAGCAAGTGTTAAACAAACACACACCCCTCTCCTCCTCCAGCCGGGAGGTCTGACCGGGTACACACCTGTTTTCGCCGGATCTTCTTGGCGAGCTGCGTCGCCGACATAAGCAGCAGCGGGTTTCTGACGGGCGGGAGCTTCTTCCCGGACAGAGCAGGTCTCCGAGGGGAGAAGAAGCGAAAAACGATGACGAGGACCTCCGTGACCGCCTTCAACAGCCATATCTGAGCTCTTTCCAGCCGGCTCAGAGCCATGTTTCAAGCGCGTGAGAGGACGGAAGATCACCGGCTGGTCGACCGCAGTCAGAACACTTCCTAGCTTACAGCAGCCGATCTTTTTATATACATCCGCGAGACAAGTTAGCGACAGTTAGGTCGCCACCGGAAATGAAGCGGTTGCTTTCAAAACAAAATCATGACCTCATTTTAAAGGGCCAAAATACTCCAGTACTAAAGTCAGTTTTTGGAATTTACTCAGATTCCCATCTTATGCTGCTTAATACAATATTCCACTACTTTCCAAACAGTAAAGAGAAAAATGCATAATATTTCCTTCTGCTTCAGTTAGTGCTTAGTAGTTACTTTCCTGCTTGATCAAATAAGTAGTTTATGTACCTCAAGTACGACTATTCATTGGAGAGTTTTATTAGTCATTCACACTTATTTGGTGATACTTTTTGAAAACAAAACATTCATTTTTAATATATTGTTATAAAACAATATTACAAGTGTTTTCATTTTTTTAAATTCTGCACAGTGCATGTTGTTATTGACTTTTCATCACTTGTACACTGTTATTTCAGTAGAACTGTGATGTAATTATTTAACTGATAGCTTTTTACTACTGACAGTTGTCTGCATATCAGTTTTTACTTCTATTAATATTTTTTTTTAATTACCTTTTTTGTTAAACCATAATGGCGTTATTAACTAACTAGGTTAACCAAATTTTCCAGGAGCTTTTAACTGTACCTCATCATCTGCATCAGCAAACAGCATTATTTTTACTGAGTGCATTACTATGCAAAAAATGCATGAAGTGTGATAGGGTCAGAGTACTTTGAAGCAGTTGTGCGGCGGAGACGTTTTATTTTGAAAATTACTACCGGAACATAAAACAATATATTGTGGTTTACCTGTCAGTGACCTATGCCACCATTCAGGGTAATTAAAGGTAACGTTTAACTATGAGTGTAATGTAAATGTGGTTGCGTAAATTACTTGGTTGTGGCTGTTAAACTAGTGCCTGCAAAACATAGATAGCCTTCTATTTGATGTTTGCTGCCCAGTATCACTTGTTTATATGAGTTATAAGAAAATAACTTGGATTTTGTGAACAAAGTTTCTGATAAAGTATAGATACAGTATGATATCTATACTTAACAAGATGAAAATACAGTATACCAAGTACACTGCATCTTGAACTGTTCTCCATTAGTATTTAGTATCAGTACTGGAAAAGTATCAAATTTCAGGCCAATAAGATGTTTGAGTTAGTATCCAGTATGATTTGAAGGTGGGGCATCCTTTTCTGTTTGTCCTTCTAATCATATTTAAAATGACATAAACTGTTAATCTAAAACACACGTGAGTGTAAAAAGACGTAGAGGCAGGTTTATGAAGTTATTTTAAATTTTGCATGCTCAGAAATCCAGTTTTTGTTTTTGTTGCCTCACGACAATGTTTGGCGATAAGAGCTACTTTTGAGGGTAACTTTGATAACAGTGTGTTTGTATGTAATGATATGTTATTTCATGTATTTGTGCATATTACGTGTGCCAAAGTCAGGGATTAAAAGTGAGACAGTGGGATATTTTTTTACAGTATTTCAGCATTTAGTTAGAAACCGAACCAGCATTAAGGGAGTGACGTTGTTTTTAAGTAGCAGGTAATTTCAAATGCAGCGTTTCTATCAGTTCAGCAAACATCAGCAAACACATAAACAGTTTGTGTGCAGTTTGTCTCACAGTGTGTTGCTAACTAAAGGTCCGGTTGCTGTATTTAACAGGGAGAGAAAAGCAAGAGAGCCAACTTCACTCGGAGATGGAGAAAGATAAGAAAGACAGGACAGGACAGGAGAGGACAACGGGAGGTTAGATTTAAAAGTAAGGAGTGCTCATTTAAAACTTACATGTAAGTCTTCGTGTTTTAAATCAGATATTGGGTCTGTTCAGGCGACATTATGTTTTCTCATATTGTGAAAAATGCTGCAGAACAAACCAAGGTGTTATTTAAAGGCTGCATGAAAACCATCTGCAGGATAGTGCAGGATAAACAGGTTAGTTTGCTGCACAGTGATGGATTTAAAGTAAAGAACAGTGTGTGACTGGTACACAGTGGCTGTTAGGTTAGGTTACATCAAGTGTAGCAGAGCTCCATATGAATTTTAGCCGATTATGCTGAGATTCATTCACCAAATTCCACTTTCATATCAACTTTATACCTTCTAGAAAAAAAGGCGTAAACCGTACAGCGTCAGTGTAGAGGAGGGTGAGGTGTAGAGGATGGAAATCATCCAGGACTACTCCTGAAACATCTGCTGACATCTGGTTGAATTAACTTGTGTAAATCCACAAAGTGCAGCAGGTCAGCTGATCACAGCCTGTACACTAAGAACATCTACTGGAGCTCTCAATGGAAATTATTGTGAGTTATGATTCTTTTCCCCACATTACAACTAATTTTAAGGTTCCCCCACCACCCAAGAAACAACAACAACAACAAAAATGAAGTTAAGCAACCATCAGTCAGCAGCAGAGGGCAGCATTGTTAAACATAACGAAACCTCTTGGCTTAGCAATTGAACATGCAGAGCGCATACCAGCAAGAAAAAAAAATCCTTCTGCAATGCAGGTCAGTGGGTTAGTGGAGAATCCACAGAGTCTGTTTGAGTTTGTGTCTCACTGCACCACCGAAACTGATAAAGAGCCTCGTGTGAAGCTTTGTTTGGATTCAGCTCCACACAGACGTCTTTTATTTTGCTTTATTTCCCTGTTTTGTATTCAAAATAATCAAAATACAGGATAAAATGAATGATGATATGCTTCATTTCAAATGTCTGTAATCTGACTTCACCGCCTCCTTCTACATTACTTCAGACAAACCACTCTGATTATGTTTCATACATGCAGGCTGAATTTTTTTTCTAAAAATCTGGTAGATTTATTGAACAAATTCATATGTTTAGAGATTTAACAGGGCCACGCCTGACAGGGACTAAAAAGAGAGAGCATATTTCTCCTGTGTTGGCTTCCCTTCACCGGCTCCCTGTTAAATCCAGAATTAAAATTAATATCCTGCTCCTCACAGACAAGGTCTTGAATAATTAGGCTTAAAACTTTAGTTTTTGATAAAGCATATAGTTAGGGTTATATCAGGTAACTCGTGGAGGCTTTCCCTGATGCACTTCCTAGTCACTCACTTTTTCTCACTCTCTATGTACTTTTACACACCTCTGTCTCTTTTGTCCTGTCTCCCTCCCCTCACCACCAACCAGTGGCAATATAATCTTCTTCCTGAGCCTGTTTTTGCTGGAGGTTTCTTCCTATTAAAAATGAGTTTTTCCTTCCCACTGTTGCCAAGTGCATCCTCAAAGGGGGTTGTCTGATTGTTGGGGGTTTCTCAGTATTATTGTAGGGCCTACCTTACAATATAAAGCTCCTTGAGGCAACTGTCATTGTGATTTGGCACACAAATGCCACATTAATGCATAAGAACCAGTTTGTACTTTTACTGATGCATCCATATTGATAACCTTTTTATTTAAGTTTTTTTTTTTACATTTTTTTGTAATTTGACATTAATGACATATGTGGAATGAACAACAAACCCCCCTAAATGCACAGCCATGCATCCATCTGCTTATCCGTTTAGGGTCGTGGGAGGCTGGAGTCTGTCCCAGCTGTCACAGGGCGAAGCAGGGTACACCCTGGATATATTGCCAGTCTTTCACAGATTAACATGCACATAGATGATTACATTTTTTAAATATTTTAATTCACAGTGATCCTAGCACTGAATAGATGACCTTTGCAACATACATCATATTTCTATTTAAAGATAAACCATAACAGCACCAAATCTTTATGTTAGTTTGTGTGTTTTTTATGTGAATTAAAAGCCTGATATGTGCATCTGCAGTGTGAGGAGGTGTGCAGGTACCATTACGGTGAAAAACATCATATTAGGGTTTGACCCTGTGCATAAAAGGAGCATGTAATCAATCATGTCCACACAATAGGTGCACCACCCTGCTGAGCTATTTATTGATCCTCTTCCACCAGGACAGACCTCCATGGTCATTTGTAAGGAGTTGAGTTCACTATAACTTCTGTTTGCCTAATTTGCATGCTTTAAAACTCTGGAGCTTTTTTGCGTGCAGACTTTGACCTACAGCCAGTTAACCCACATTATAGCTGAGACCCAGTGTGTCGCCTTCAGCGAATAAACAACACTTTCTTTCGGCAGGATGACGTGACGGTCACAGAATAAAGGCATAAATGTTCCTTGACGGGTACACCCAGTCTAAAAAAAACAAAACATAAACGTATCACAATACCAACCGAGTGGAGAAAAACAGACAACCTGATCACCTGTAAGGCGACACCTGAGGCCCAGACACAACTGCTGGGCATGTAGAGACAAGAAGGGAAAACCAGGAGAAACACACAACTGACGGCGCTAATGTCTCTGTGTAAAGCTGCAGGAAAAATGTGGCCCGCAAAGCAATTATAGCTGCATTTAAAGTGTGTATAATTTTCCGGTTGCAGGGAGTGTAGCTTGTGGTCTTCTGTGTTTTAGGAAAAACCTTAAAGGCTTTGTTAGTGCACGCCTTCGGGGTAAAATGATATGGGGTCAGTGAACAACACAAGGAAGCCTTTGGGCGCTTTTCCATCTTCTTTCCTGTGTCTGCCGACATGAGATATCCACCAAATGCACTCTAGCTGCGGCTCATTACTGTGTCTCTCACAGTTTACACACAATGGAAACAACTCAAGCAGCGTCACCTATTACAGCATCCAACCGACAGACGCCAGCTGATAATGTTAAAGCCTCTGCTTCCGGATAAATCAGACAAAGCATCGCCCAGACGTTTAATTTTTCTAATGAGATCACAGACGTCAAATCCAGTCATCCTTCACCGGACAGTAATTTACTTTTCAGTTTGTTTTGAAAGGAGCACTTTGCTCTCATCCACTTTCCAGCACCTCCACTCAGCCCTGGAGACCAATGCAAGCTGATCTGGCTGTCCCTCGGGGTGCCAGAGCAGAGTGTCTGCAACTGTTGTGCCTCTAATGGACAATTTTCATTATTAAAATGACAAGTATTTAAAAGGTTCCCCCACATTCCTCTGC